AAAAAAAAAACCACACACAAAACATAGAAATGAAGCAGAGATATGTAAATTCATTCAGTCAAGTTTATTAAACTTACTGTGTGCTCAGCACTGTCCTAGGCAGTAACATGAAAACATTACAAAAGAATATCTCAACAAGGGAAAAATATATTCTGTACTATATTAATTTCCAATCATTTACATGTTGTGTTTTAAAGTGTTCTTAGGTCGTTTTGGGGTATGTGGTCTCCTCCTTTCTCCACATCCCCCTAAAGCTTCCAGCACTGTTGAATTATGTGCCTGTGGTGACCATCCTCCAGGAAGGGCAGCTTCCTGCCGATGGGGCAACCAGGGGTTGATCAGGGCTGGGGTCCCATGGTGGAGGAGACAAGCTGAGAGGGAAACCATCAATCCCGAGAGCTCAGGACACTCACAGTGATTCACAGAAGGCCAAACTTGGGGAAGCCACAAAGAAAGAGGGCTCTGGGCCCCTCACTCACCCCCTCCCCTAGGGGCTGTGCTTAAAGTGCTAACACCGTATGAAAATGATGCATAGCTACAAGCTGTCCTGGGTGCTACTGGACTAATCACCTCCCTCTTCCTCCCTGACTTGTGCTAATACTGGGCGAGGCACAGGCCAATAGAAAAGTCTAGTGCCCAGTGAAGAAGCAGAGAAGGTCCAACAAATAACCTAGAATTCCCAAGAGGAGGTGGGGACAGAAAGGACAGAGAAGGGCAGAGAGGACTCTGCAGCAAAAAGGACTCGTTTGTGCTTGGCCAGTGCCCCTGGACCAGGGGTTGGTTTCTGTGCAAAGGACAGTTTGGTTCTACACAGCTAGCAGGGTCCTAAATTTTACCTGAGGGTACATAGCATAGGAAGGAGGAAAATCCATGCAGGGCCCTTGTGGGGCATACAGCAGGCCAAGCCACACGTGGATGCTGGATGACATCTGAACACCCCTGGCCAAAGAGCTCCCTGTGGAAGGGCCCAGTCATCGCATGCAGGCCCCACCCTGAGTCAGCATGAGGGGCTTAGGTCCAACTGGCAGCCTTGCCAAAGATACCTGTCCCCCTGTGGGTTAGAGCCCAGTGAAATGTATCATGTGCATGTCAGAGGGCACCACAGCTAGGAGGGCAAGCAAAAGTGGCAGTGGCATGACCTGTTCACACTGGCAACATAGCTAGGCAGAGGATGCCGTGGAGGAATGGAAGGGTGTCCGGAGGCCAAGAGAACATCCTTGTCTCAGAGCCAGATCTCATCGCTGCTCACACTGGACACTCGATAGATATAGCCCAACATTGGGAGGCGGATGAAACCTGCGGGATCAAAGCCCAGGGGACTCAGTAACGCTTGTTCCTTGGAAGCTGGGAGAGCCCTCTCTGCCCCCTGGGCACTTAGAGGCCTCTGGCATAAGCACAGGGCTGGGGAGCAGAGGAGGGCGGTAGGCCCTTCCCCAGTACCTCGGCTGGTAAGGAGGCCACCAGGCTCCGGGTCCAGAAGCTCTGGCCGGCTGTTGTTCTGAGCCATCTGCCGGTCTGCTGGCTTCACTGCTGGGTGACAAAGAGGGCAGTGTTGAGGACGAGGAGTGTGCCTGATAGGGCCTTGCCCCTCCCAAGCACCAAGCTCTCTTTTTCTCAGAAGCACTTCTGAAGATTAAGCAGGGGCCAATAACAGGCTCCTAGATATACCCCTGGAATCTGGAGTGAGGTCATTGAGCTGAAGGTTGGATGGGAGGGACATGTTCTCCCGTGGCAGGCGCACGTTGTTCAGTTTCAGGTTGTTGGAGTCACTACAGGGAGGACAAAGTCGGAATGGATATGCGCCCTGGCACAGGCACTCACGGCTGCCTCTACCAGAAACCCCAGGCTCTCTCCTGTCCCCATCCTGCCAGTATGCTCTTACCACAGCCCCTCATACTTCTGGCCCTATCTTCCCAAACCCAGATGGGAGCCAGAGGCCTGGACCCCTCCTCAGAAGGGATGCTGAGAACAGAATGGCTGGGTCTGCCAGAGAGGCAGCATTTCGTGGTGATTATGAGGCTTGTCTGCCCAGCCCCAGGAAGAGTTACCTTGATATCAGAGATGGGCGCCGGGAGGGGCCTGCGGAGAAAGAAGCCATATCTCTAATTCTCAACGTACCCTCCCACACTGGGCTGTCCTCCTCCTACCCTTTCAGACCCAGGACTCTCAGGGAAAAGGGTCTCTTAAATGCCCTACCCATGGCCACACCCTGGAAGTGCTCTGCCACGGTCAGAGACGACTGGTTCTGCCCAGGCTGTTGTCAGCCTGACCTATCGCCACTCCTCCAGCCACCCTCTGCCCCCAGTGTCCCTGGCCTACCTTTGGTCTTCTTCTCTTTCCTGCAGACCAGGCAGGCCACCAAAGTGCTGAACCCCATGAGGGTGCTCAGGGCAAGCCCAGCAGCCACAACAATGCCCACCAGTGGCACTTCCACCCGGGTAGCCAGGAGCCCTGAAGGACGTCCTCTGGTTAGGTCCCAGCTGGGCAGTGCCCCCAGCCCCAACATGCCATAGGTACTACTCTGCCCTCCTTGCCCAGGGTGACTAGGGACAGCTCATCCACAAGACCCACCCACAGGGCAACAAGTACTCCCATTTCTAAATGGGGATGGGACCCCTGCGACCACCTGAGGCTTTGCTAGGCCAGTTGCTGGGCATGCTCACCTGGGGCTGGAAGCGAGGCACTGGTGACACCCACGTCATTGGTGGCCACCACCGAGAGGTTGTGCGCCAGGCTGCGGAGCTGCAGCTGCACCGTGTGGTTAGTGAGCCAGGGATAGTTCTGTGCATCCAGCACCAGGAAGTCAGAGGTGTTGACAGTTACTGGCCCATCCTGGTCGATCCAGGTGACATTGGCAGGCGGGTTGGCACGCACCAGGGCAAACAGGACAACTAGGAGGCCTGAGTCCTGAGCTTCCTGGTACTTGGCGCCGACTTGGGCAATCTCTGGCTTGACTGGTGCAAAGCAGAGGCCAACATGCTCTTACCACAGCCCCTCATACGACTGGCCCTACCTTCCCAAGCCCAGATGGGGGCCAGGGGCCTGGGCCCCTCCTCAGAGGGGATGCTGAGAACAGAATGGCTGGGTCTACCAGAGAGGCAGCATTTCATGGTGATTATAAGTGTAATTAGAGCCAAAAGCCCAGACGTGAATCAAGGCTCTGCTTCTTAGCAGCGGGACCATCACCCTAGGTGGACCACTTAACCTCTTTGTGCCTCAGTTTTCTCCTTTGTAAAATGGTGACAATAGTAATGACCTCATGGGATTATTCAGACGATAAAATGAGTTCATATTTGCAAAGTGCTTAAGTGTTTGCTAAATGTCCTGTGGACCACCTGCCTGGTGGCTGCTGGGGGCCCCTTGACAGAGAACCGCTCTCCCTGTCCACCTCAGGGGCACTTACATTGCACATTGAGGATGACAGAGGCGTTGGCTGACCGGCCACTGCTGGGGTCCTGCAGGGAGCAGTTGAGCTCATGCTGGGCCCGCTGGGCAGTGACAGTGAAGGTGCTGGTGCCTCCAGAGAAGGCCTCTCCACCCACACTCAGCAGTCTTGAGGTGCTGGCCTCTTGCAGCTGTCCATCCAGATACCAGGCCAATCTGGGGGTGCCAGGCCCCCCTGCCACCCGGCAGGTGAAGGCGTGGCGTTCATTCTCCCGAAGTGCCCGCTCAGCCCAGGTCTGACCATCTATTTGTGGCGCCAACTCCCCCCAACCTGGAACACAGCAGGGGCCTCTGGGAAGGGCTGGGGCAGGGCTGGTACTGTGCTGTGACCAGGAAGAGGTCCAGTGAGAGGAGCAGCAGGCCAAGGGAAAGGGCACCTGAGTCCTTTCACCAGGGACTGACTGGTTGGAGGTAGGGTAGGTGGGTGAGGGGAATAGGGGCTCCAGAGCCTGGGGCCTGGAGTGGGTACCCAAACAGAAGTGCAGACAAAGAGAGGAGAAAGGGGGCTCTGGACCCCAGAAGCACTTGGTCAACGACTGAACAGGGGTGTACCTGAGCTCAGAAGGGCTGGCAGAAGCAGCAGTGTGTGCAGGAGGGTGGCTGGGCCTGGAGGCAGCGCCATGGTGGCCCGGGCCTGGGCCCCAGGCTGCTGAGAGAAGGGGTCGGATCTCCGTGTCAGCCAGGTGAGAGTGGGCAGGCCTAGCAATTTCTCCAGAATTTACTCTCCAGAAACAAAAAGAACCATGCACGGAGACACAAATGTAGACCGGCTCCCAGTGGCGAAGGCGCGGACACGAACGGCAAAGCCCAAAGGCACAGACCCACTCAGCAGATGCCTGGATACCCTGCAGGTGCAGAACCGAGCACCGACTCCAGGCTACAAACAGGCCCCCGCCCGCAGATCCGCAGAAGCAACGAGCATCTGTGCAACCGCACCTTGCACGCACGGACACTCACACACATACACACACATACACTCGGTCTTCACGCGCCCCTCCCCCAAAGGGATTGCTTTTCCCTTTCCCATCCTCTCTTCTGCTCCGCTAGGTTCTCTCTCCCATCCCTCGCCCTACGCCCAATCCCATCCTCCCTCCTGCCCTGTTCTCTCTCCCATCCCTCGCCCTACGCCCCCTTTCTTGATGTTGGTGGCTCTGGTGAATGTGAGCGGAAGAGGAAGGGGTGAGGGGAGGGTGGGGTCGCCGAGCATCCCGCCTCCATCCCCCACCACCCCCCGCCACCCCCAGCCACCAGGGCGGCTCACCTGGCTCCCTCCCTGAGCGCCGCCGGAGCAACTGCTCAGGTCTGATGAGCACCGCAGTCCGCTGCAGGGGCGAGGGCTGCGCCAGGCAGGGCCAATCGATGCCCGACCACCAGCCCCCACAGGCCCTCCTCCGGCAGGTGGGCGGCCGCGGTTCACCACCCCCCTGGCGGGTCCCTAGTCCGTACCAAGGGCCCCCAGCGCAGAGTCCCCCCCAGTGCCCTTCTTGCCGGGCGCAGGCAGGACGCAGGAGCAGGCAGAGTTGGTGAGGCCCGACGACTTTATTGGTTCAGGGCCCCCCTCCCCGTCCCCTCGCCCCCAGACGCTGGAGCTCAGCGGCCGTTGAGGGGGCGGCGCAGCTGCCCCATCATGTCGGCCAGCATGCGGTTGCACAGCGCGGCGTAGGGGTTGAGCAGCACCAGCTGGCGCCGCGCGAAGGGGCTGCCCAACCGCGCTGCCCGCTCGAAGTCCCTGCGGGCGTCGTCGTCCCGGCCCTGCAGCCGCGCCAGGAGTCCGCGCTGCACAAAGCTCTGGCGGGCGGCGCGTCCCCGGCCGCCGCTCAGCTCCACCGCGCGCTCCAGGTCCTCCAGGGCGCCTGCGGGACCGACAGGGCGGGCGGGCGGGGCGGTGGTCAGAGGCGTCCGGGGCGGCTTAGCCGGAGCCCCCGCCCACCTGCGGCCGCACCTGCCGCCGTGGTCCTTGCGGCTCCCGGGCGGGGCCGTTTACAACCCGCCTCGCACCTGCTAGAGGTACAGACTGTTACACCCATTACACAGATGAAGACTGTAGAAGAATTGAGAGGACTTGCCCGGGGCAGTACAACCAGGCCACTTAGTGGCAGAGTTGGGACTGAAGTACAGGTCTCGTCTTGTTCATATTATTTTCCACCGCTAATACACGAAAACATGAACGTTGCAGGATTCTGAATGGTCACTAAGTTTATGAGTCTGACCCACTGCTCGGGCAAGTAGCAGCCAATTTATTCCACACCTGTTATTAAGCATCCACTGTGTCAGGTGACTGATTCTGAATGTCAGGGTCCAAAAAAATGAACTCTGCAGTCATTTCTTACAAGTACAATCAAGTCAAATTCTCATTGTTTTCCTTTTGAGGGCCTTTTTTTCTATTGCTTGCGTTGAACACCTCTCTTCTCTATTTCCTGGACTGATTGCCTTTCATCATTCTTTGGTTATCTCCATGTATCTAATATCCTTGGTGCTGGAGCCAGAGCTGGCGTGCACCATTTTTATTTTTATTATCATAAATTACTTGGGTTGGGCCTCAGAACTCTGAACTCAGAACTTCAGGCAGTCAGCCACCTTCTGTAAGTCCACCAGGCTGCCTTCATTCCAGGCTCTGCTTCAATTCACTCATGTTCTCAAGTCTTCTAAAGAGCCTGAGCCTCTGGAGAAGCTCTCAGGTTGCAGTACTCCTTGGTTTCCCACAGAGGAGCAAGTCTGGAGGAATCTCCAGTTGGAATCACCTTTGCATCTCTCTGGGGCCGTCTTCAGCGATCTGGGGCAGATAAGCCTGGAAAGGGGCTCTTGGGAGGTTTCCATTGTTCCTGGAGTGGACTCAAAACTCCCCAGCCTGGGATTGCTGGTCTTGGGAGCACCTGTATCACCACTGCTCCTAACAGTCAAGTAGTACTAGGTTTCCTTAGTTTATACCTTCCTGTCAGCCTGATCTTTGGTCCCCAGCATGGTCCCATTGTCTCCACTTAATTAGAATAAACTGAATGCAGCAGGAGTTTGATCCAGTCACTCCCCTGTTAAAACTCGAGTGGTCCCCCATGTTTTCAAGACGCACAGTCTTAGCCTAACACTCCCAAGGTGTGGATCAGACTCTTGCCCACAGCTCCAGGCTCAGCTTGCTGTCCTTCTTCCACTCCCTGCTCCAGCCAGCCTGAAGACCTGAAGTTCTCTGTACCTGTGTCTGCTTTTTGGACCTCTACAGACTACCTTCTCCACTCACCAGCTAACTCCTACTCATACTTGAAAACTCACTCTTCAGGAATGGGTCCCACACTGACCCCTCTCACACGTATTAGGCTGGTCTCAGAATTGTGTGTCTGTTCTGCCCCCTGGACTGGGAGCTTTTTGAGGAGCAGTATCATGTGGGGATTAAGAGCCCTACCACCTGTTTCACATCCCAGCTCCACTACTAACTGTATGATAGTGGGCAAATTACTTAGCCTTTCCATGCTTGTTTCTTCATCTGTAAACCGGGGAAACAATAGTATATACTTTTTAGGGTTGTTGTGAGGATTGATTTACTATAGTTTATATGTAAAGTGCTTAATGCCTGGTACAGTACTGCTATATAAATGTTGGCAATCAACATACCTTTTATCTCAGTGTCTTCAGCACCAGCCTGCTACCACAGAGTAGGCTCTCATTAAATGTTCCTTAATCAATGGAATGCAGTCTCTTTTGAATTTCACAATAGCCCCATTAGATTAGCAGGGCCCCTGATACATCTCCTACCTTATAGGTAAGAAGACAGGCTCCAAGGAGTTTAGCAAGGCCACCCCAGCCCCACAGCTACTTCATGTCTGGTCTGTGCTCTCCCTTGGCCCCTTTTGCAGAGGATACAGGGCATCTCCCCTTACCTGCCACGTCTCCCTGGAGTCGCCTGGCCTGGGCACGGTTGTTGTAGGCTGAAGCCCTCTCAGGCAGCAGGCAGATGGCCTGGCCAAACCTCTCCAGAGCTGTGCTGAGGTCCCCAGCCTCTGCTGCCATCACCCCCTGTAGCTCCAGGGCCTTGGACTGCTCCAGCTGTGCTTGAGGGAAAACTTCATCTGGGCCAGGGAAGGAGCCATGAAGGGCCAGGTGTGCAGTTGGTAGCAAGAAGAAAAAGCCACCTCAGGCTTTGGAATTCTGAGATCTGAGCCAGAGCTGACTGGGTATGGGTTACAGCAGTGGTCAGTTGCAGTGTTTGGGGTATGGGGGAGATTGGGTCGCTAAGGCTGGGAGCTACCATTGCCTGAGTTCCAAGGGGCCTTAGTTGGCTCCCCATTGCCAAGAGAATGAAGCCAACTCCTCAGCTTATTAAAGAACTTGTTCAAGGTCACACAGGCCACACAAGCAGAGCTTGGATGTGAACCCAGGTTGTTCTGGCTTTTGTCTGCATTTTGCTCTACTACACTGCCTCTCATGCAAAGGCCACCATGATACTCCCAGATCATGAACATCACTTCTGACGTAGCCCTTAGTGTTTTAGCCTGAGTTAGTAAGGCGTAGGCTTTACCACTCTAGAAACAAAGGATATTGAAAATTCCTTAATTAGGGGCTAATGGAAAAGGCAGTGAACGCACTCACTCTGCGGAAGAGTTAGCTTGGAGCTTGGCTTGTGACAGTGTTTAACAGATTCTGGTTGTGGTTGCCATATTGGAACCACTCAACTGAGCCACCATGCCCTGCCTTATTTTGGTCTTCTGGGTAGGGGTGGTGGTGGTATTCTCTGTTATGACCAAAAATGTGAGAGTTTAACATCATCTGGCAGTTAAGCCTGGATCATACAATCAATTAAGTGGTAAGTTCAGAGGCATAGGAGCTGACGGATTGAGAGAAAAACCCTAGCTTACTCCACTTGGCAGAATGTCTCTTACCAAATCATCAGTGCACTTAGGAGCAGCCAACCTCTCTGATTCCAATCTCAATAATAATCCAAGGGTCATGGAACAAGGGGCCCTATAAGATCACCTCCCTCTGCTACCTTGGAAGGCCAGCAGGCCAGCCTATGTGCAGAGCTACGCTCCAGGTCAAATGCTCACCTTCTTCTAGTTCTTCCTTTTCTGCTTCCTCCCCCAGGTCCAATCCAACAATGTCTCCAAATGGGGTGTCAGGGTTGAAGATGGCCTGCAGCACTGCCTGATCATTTGGAGTCCCCATGGTGCTCAACTCCAAAAATCCCAAAAGATGACTCCGGATGAGAGAATAGGGAGGACAGTGGTAGGGGCGGAGCCTCCGGCAGGAAGTTGATCTAAAAGGATGAAGACCACCCCTTCATGAAGAGTCTCCCTTTCTGGGCAGTAGCATTTGCTCAACCTGTGGCCTGGAGGGTTGACTCTGGCTTGGCAGAATATTTAGTTATTTCTCAACTGCCCCTGCCCCCAGGAGAAACAGTAAACAAATCCAGCTTCAGCCTTAAGGTGGAGTGCAGCTAAGATAAGGTGCTCTCCAACTTCTCCCTGAAATGCTTTCAGTGTATTATATTCACAGTTTAGGAGAAAACAGATAAAAGTCACTACCTGACCTCCTTGGATAAAACAGGGGAGATATGTAGAAGGTAAAGGTACTGTTCCTTTGTCCTCTTGACCTTTCCTCATATCCAGAATTAATTAGGTCCTGAACATACATCATTGATGAATACAGGAAGAAAATACAGTCAAGAGAGCCAGTGTGGAGCAGACCTGAAGGTGGGCTGCAAGGAATGATTTAGTGATGCCACCTTAAAGCAAAGGACTGTGGAAGGTACTTTGTGACCAGGTCACAGGACATACCCCTCCCCTTTTCTCCACCCCCTCCAACCAGAGCCAAAAGGAAGCTCAACCATGTGCAGCAATAAACTTGACATGTTTATTAATTAAACTATCACTTAAATAAAAAAAAGTGCATAGAAAATAAACATGTTTAAAAACTCCTTTTTTTTACAACTATGTACACTTTTTACTTTTACATTCAGTCTTTCGTAGAGAGCTTTCAGCATTATTATTTTTTGAACTATTAAAGTATTTTCCTTCATCCCTGTCACAGGGAGTTAACACTGATGGACTTTAGACACATTTTCCTTTTTTTTTTTTTCTCTTTTTCTCTAACCAGAAGCTTGGAAGAACACAAGGAAAAAAAAAAAACAGATCTGTTATACATGATAAAGTTGTCAAAAAATGTCTTATTTCTAGAAAAGAAGCTTGTCATCTGTTGAGCTCTTGAAACAATTATTCAACTACCTGTATTTACTAAAGAGACTGTTAAAAGTTCAATAAAAGAAACACCACAATTCTATTTTCTTGGTTGAAAGACAGAACTAGAGTACCTCGGAACAAGATACCAGGAAAGCACAGAACACAATTTTCCCC